CTGCATGAAACAGTCTTCTTTGTTCTTCGCTTGACAGTGAGTGGGGCTCTTATGATGAACATTAAGTGGAGCCGACGGCCATCCTGGAAACTTAGCTAACATGAAATTCTTACATCTACAAAATGTGTATCCTTTCCATTTATGAAAACTCTGAGAAAAACAAACTTAGAGGGAGGGAAATTGTAAGGTAACAGTAAAAACATAGGATTGATAGAAGGAAAGCCACAGCATCCGTGCAGAAAAAAACAAACGATTTTTCCTCTGCTCATACCCCAGAGCCAAAAACACAGAACAGTTGTGTGATCAGATGTATGGGGGTTTTTGCACCCACACCAAGCTATCGTCCAGTGAACACAAGCTCATTGATGTCCTCCAACTCAACTCCAACATTATCGACCTGCAGATAGCATCACATACCCCAGTTTGAGGGCTTACACCCCAAGACTGTCCTCCTACTTCTCATGCAAATCACAAGTCCCAAAACCTGTGTTTTGACTGACCAGTTATAAATCGGGAATCCCAACATCCTCCTTTGGTTTGATTAATTTGCTAAAGGGGCTCACAGGACTCAGGGAAACACGTTTGCCAGTTAATTATAAATATTACAAATGATACAGACCAAGAGATGCACAGAGTGATGTATGCGGGAAGGGGTTCGGAACTTCCACGTCCTCCCCAGGTGCACCACACTCCAGGAACCCCCATATGTTCAGCTACCTGCAAGTTCTCCATACCCTGTCCTCTTGGGCCTTTTATGGAGACTTCACTGGGGAGGCGTGACTGGAGCACGAACTGTGTAGAAATGTGACTGGACAAATGGGTATGATCTAAGAGAAACAGATTGAGTAGGGAAACCCAGCAAGGCCTGTCTGATCAGATTCTTCTTGGCCTTTGTCAAGCATTCCTTTCTCCCAGGCACAGGCCAGGAGCCCTTCTGAAATGAGGGCCTTAAGGCCTACAATCAGACAAGGAAGGTCAGGGAAACTTTGTGACCAGCTCTAAGAGAGAAGGTGAGGAAAATTCCTTCCTTGACCAGAAAAATGAGCAGCTTAAAGGAGGATAGAAGGTCAGAGGGAGATTCTGTTTTCTGAGGCTTAAAGGGCCCCAACATTATAACAAGGGCTGTGGGAGTTATCAGCCAGGAATTGTGAGCAAAAACAACTATCTCATAATATGACACCATCACATTGTTCCACTGCCCTATAATCTATACATACGGTCACTCTGGGATGCTGATTCCTCCACACAAAATGCTCATAACTCCTGTGGTTTTGGAAACAAGTACTCCTTACAGCAAAGAAGTGTCATCACTGAGGAATGAATGAC